TTTCCTAATATACCTACTACCAGTACGCAAATATTATATCGTTAGATATACTTACTTTTTTTTTAACCATGACATTCTATAAAATTAGCAGAAGAGGTACCTGCATGAGCTATTGTGAAAAGTAAGCTTAAAAAACCCAAAAACCAGAAATATTAGACGTCTTCATGTAGGTACCTCAAACAGGGGCACCAACCTCTAAAGTATAAGAAATCCGACAAAAGTCCGAGACTTAAGGTTCAATAATCGATAATGTTTTAGCGGCGTTCTCAAAGTGTTGGCCAACAAATAAAGTCATTTATTTCTTTTTTCGGTGACATTTCGCATTCGACACGCAGATAATCTATTTACCGTTGTTCTGTTTGTGTTGTTGGGACAGCCGGCCCATAGCTCGGTTGACTTTTGTCAACCGACCTAAATCGTTCCCTGGGTCTTTGTAGATTGTCGCCCAAAATCTATTTTCGATTTTTCGAGACACCATTCTCATCAACTAAAAGCGGATTACTTAAGTATTCCGCACCGCAGGTAAACTGTTTTTTTCTTTTTAAGAAAACAAAAAACCAAAATGGGTCTCCGATATTTTCTACTTCTAAGGCATTATACAGGATGTACTAACGACGGTGCAACACATTTTCAGAGTTTTCTAAACCAATTCCTAAAGACCTATTTTAGACTAAGGCTATAGGTACTTTCTTTTTTATTGTCATTTTTTATGCAACATACTGTGTGCTTAGGCGATGGTGCCAGAGACATAAATATTTATCAGAGGGTACTAGTAATAAGAACTTTGCTTTGAACCGAACCCGTAACTAATTTACAAACAAATTGTATAGCAATTAATAAAAATGGTACTTACCTAACAAATAACAATATCGTAAATGAAAAACTCTAGTCTTTAATTTGCGTTTGAAGAAAACGACTTGTATCCGCGGCACTTTATCTTTGCCTCAGTTAGTTACTAGTTACTCGACCGCAGACAAAATTCCGCCTTAAGATACTGTTGATAGTCAGTGGATAGTCCACCAATCTCTTATACCAAATGTCAATATATCTTGTAGCAGATTACAGGAACAGTTCTAGTTCTCTTACTAAACCAGACTTTGGAGAATCTAAACCTTTAAAGTATACCTACTGATTCAATGATAGTGAATACATTAGCTATTATGGCACTCCTAGAGTAGATATATCAGGTAAACTTTTCACTAAAATGTTTCCTTTTGTTTATTTCTACTATATTTTATATACGAAAAAGAAAATACTGACTTTCTCCGGCTTAACCAATTAGAATAATCACATGATCACTGTTACCGTATGTGTCGTGTGTAGAGTACTAGTTAGCGGTCTAGCAAACCATATGTTTAGATTCTTTTGTGGCGTAGTAATGTGGCATAATCTTTTAACCATCTAAATATAATATTATTACAAATGAACATTATGAGATAAGTAAATGTTATGACATTGGGTAAATACCCATTTAATGTTATTGAAGAATATAAGCATAAACATTAATACCTACTAACTGTATTGACCTGTGCCTATAAAATTTAAGGTTAGGTACAGTATTTTATCATTTAAACAATTATATATTTTGCACAATTGGAGTAGATACATAATTTTAAGTTTTCCTTTATTCATTTAAACCTGTCGTGTCAAGACTTCCATTGTATCAGATGTCAAGAAAGCTGCTTAGTTAATCAGTTTAAATAATATTTTACATTATTAAAAAGCGTATTCTTTGTAAATAATTTTGCACTTTTCTTTATAATTCACTCAGAAATGTAAAATCATATGCTTAATGTAACTTTATTTGTCCAAAGTAATTTCATATTACCTAGTGCGGCATAAAAGCAACCAGTGATGTAACTTTAGTACCTACTACCAAATCAACAAACTAGTGCACTACAAAATGTATAAAATTGTCAATTTGGACTTGGAAAAACTATATGGTACTAGAAGAGAATGTCACATAAATATGATTAAAAGGAAAGGAATACGTCAAGAAAATGAATCGAAATATTTTAAATGGGAAGCGAATTACAGCCTTTGAAATGTTTGAGTAATAGAACTAAAGAAAAACAGTCTACTTCGAGTTGGAAAAATGTGAACACAAACCAGATTTGCTGAATGTTCAGTTTGAATTGTTAGCTATGCATCAAAATAGTTCAAGACTTTCAAATGTGATCAGTTCTTCACCAAAATAATAAAAAAGAGGGAGATTTGAAAGAAACATGAAACATGTTTTTATTCAATTACTACAATACCATTTAAGATATTGTCCTTAAATTGGAATCCCCATCTCTAAAATTTAATCAAAAACTAACCAGTGGTATGGAAATTAGAAATGGTTTGAAGGATTTCAAAAAGAAAAAGAGTTATTTGAAGTTAAAACATATTTAGAACAGTACACTTTGCAAATGATACTTTTTCAACATCGTGCGAGTTTTTTGTAGAATACATCATTCACTGTCAAAGTTTAATAACGTTTGATAATACCTGACACATTTCTAGTAGCGGGACAGTTGAAAATCATACTTTTCCATAATTATGTATGCCCAAATTTTACACATTAGAACAAAATAATTGAATTTCATCTATGGTCCGCCGCTGTTGACTGCCTTGGTTTTTGAGCTGTTAACCGCATATTCTATAGAAGAGGCTCAAGAAACACAAAAGCTCTCATTTCTGTTCATATTTTATATCAAAGTATATACAACAAAACTGCACTATACCAAATTTGAAGACTATATCTTCCATGATCGCTGTGGGATCCAGTATAGAGAACCAACGCTATGTCATTATCTTATACCTATACCTAATTTGTACGTTCAATGCACTGTAAATCATTTTATCCAAAACCATAGAATTAGATTTAAGCATTGATCAGTATGGTAACGTATAGAGTGTGTAATATAACGGCGTATCAAATATGAATGCGTCTATTCCTCGGCCAGATACCTGAATAAAATAGAAGACTCAAAGACTCATTTCGAACAACTCATCTAAAATCTTAGGTACCGACCTTCTTCAGATGCAAAGAAGAATTATGTCGTCCCTGTGATGATATTGTAATAAATTAATCTGTTTGATATAAAAAGAACAGTTTAATGCTAAAAAAAATCAAAATTATCCACCAACGTGTAAACACATTTGGGTCCGTCTTAATCAGTTTCTACGAACTAACACAAATGTTGTCTTGCTTCACCATAAATTAAAACGATATCCATCAACCTCGAGTTGCTATACACGCAAGCCATTGTTGACACTAACTACTAAAAAACTATTGTAAACACCACAGATAACAGGTAAACACTATCGCAACGACGATTCAAAAATCGGATTTCAGTATTCGGAGTCGCTGAGGCCACGTGGCTACCCACGCGTATTGCGAATGTCGCTAGAGACTACAGTTGTCCAGCTATGTAGTGGTTGAATGTACCAAGTATAACTTCAATAATTTTTTTCTCGGAAACTATAAGGATTTTGCAAATTTTTTCTACGATATTGACTCCATTTCTCATGCCACATCTATTCCCAATTTTTTTTTGGATAAGTTGTGAATCACCCCTTATATTGTAAAATGTAATAGCGCAGTAATAGGAGCTGTAGCAGTCGAAATGTCACATGTTGGTTTGAATCCTTCTGCAGCAACTTTCAATGTGGCTATCAGGGGGATGTAGAATTATCCAAGGAATTTCGGGATACATTTACTTTTTATCACTAAACCATCATATGGATTCCAAAGAATGTTTATATTTGATTGGATTAAGTGATTAGTTTAACTTCTAATACTTGGTAGGTAAGCCTATACTTACAATAATAATTATAAGAGATACAGAAAAGACTGTAGCATTTGCCTAAAATATATAACTGAGAACAAGACACCGTTTTTTTTTGTTTAATCTTTCGAGTAAAAAATATCGTAAGACAATGTAATAAACTAAATTAAATATAGCTATTAAAATTAAAATTGCACAAATAGAGATTAATAACTTACAATTAGACAAAGATTAAAAAAACAAACTTGAAGATCAGAGGAAGAAACTATTAGAAGATTAAATGATCGATAATTTCACAACGTGAAATATAAATAAAAATCCTGTTGGCATGGCGTCGAGACAAAATCCAATGAAACTATCTTAAGAAAAATTTCATTAATTAATTTTCAAATGTTATTTACTAAATAAAGATATTCGTGGTACTTCCATACTTATTGACACTGAACCATTTTTTTGCACGAAATCATAGTTTTAATTGAGCACATTAAGTATATAGGTAGGTACATACCTAAACCTAACCTAACTATTCAAATGCTCTTGTTCTTATCACTATGATTTCTTTATAGAATGAAGGCTACCTAATTTACCTCCTAAAATTCCCATAAATAATACATAGCACCTCCAGTTTCCTATTTACATTTTTCAGTGTTGCAGCAACAAAAAGGACAAATTTTTTGAAGATATAAATCTTGCATCAGTTACAGCTGCAACTTAATCTACTACCCGAACCCATGTTCCTTCAACAGCGTTTCCTTGTCTTGTGCATACATAATTTCCTTGGGTTATTCAAAGCCTAAACACATTAACAGCCGTGAATTGTTAACATGTATCAGTCACGATGCATCAATTAATATACTGAAAACCCAAAAAGCCCATGAATAATTCACAGTTTACCCAAATTAGGCAGTCGAGATGCTATCAAAAGCAGATCGTTGCCCGACAATGGCGGTCCCTCGTTGCAAACGCTACCACTTTATGTACTAAAACAGGGCATAATCATTTACACAAACATATTTCTGGATCTGTAAGCCATCCTCAGACCACACCCTGCATGTGTCGGTAAACATCTAGTGGGTTGAGCTCCCATCACCTCTGTCCGGCCTCTCATTGGCCGCCAAACCGAAATTCTGCCTCTTCGAGGCGTTGCCCCGACGCTATAAAGCGCACAACGAACCAATACATCTAATACGATCATTAGTCGCATTACATACGTGAAAGGTACCGCACAATACCGTGATATAGGCTAAAGTGATATTTGTGATGATGTAAATATGGTGGTGCCGCAAGGACCTCTTCCACGGCAGTGCGTCTCTGCGCTTATTATGGCCCATACTCCGCTGAAGTCGTTCACCATCAACTCTATTTTGCCAGAGACAGCGTTAGACGCGAGGAGCGGTAGTCCAGAGCCTGAGGAGGAGTGCGATCTGAAGCGCGAAACTGTGTCCGACGTGGAAGTGAGTGACTGCGAATCGGATTTGGATGTTACTGGAACTACACCGCCTTTGGACTGTTCTAATAAGAATACTGATGAAGCAGACGACAAAGAAGGTAAGGTTCTCAATGTCCTTTCTTTAAAAAAATATCAGAATTGATGTAAATAGTAGTTTTCATGAAAATAGAAGAAGAATGTCCAGCAAAGAAAAATTTGATTTTTATCTGACCAACCAGTATGCTTTGATTAAAATTACTAATAATTTTGACTAAATTTAGAGTTTTTAAACTCCATATAGTCTTTATTGCTTCATACATTTCTTGTATCATCCATTTCCCAACACATATGTTGTCATAATATCTTAGCTTAGTTACTCTAAACATTTATATACAAGGTGTTCAGAAAAATCTCCCGTAAATACAGGGGGTGATAGTAGTAAAAATAAGATTTTTTTGTCGTATGAACTATATGTCTATCTCCTCTTGTTTTCGAGATACAGAGCGACAAAATAAAATTTTTTAAATAGAATTTTTACGAAAATTTCCAAACGGTCAGAAAGTTTTTTATGAAATTTGGTATTCCGGGGGTTTTAAGGATGCCAAATACGCTGGTCTAATTATTTTTTGTATATTTCATAGAGGGCGATAGTTATGCTACATTCTTATTACATTTTAACTTCTATTTTAAGGTTAGGTTTTTTACCATTCGAGCTCCAATTTCTAATGTACAATTTTATTTTTTTAAAATAAGTTACCTACTCTTGTTAGCACTTCCTAATGTGGACGGTTTCCGAGAAAAAGGCTTTTAATTGAACTCTTACAATATTACAGTGAATAAAATAAGTGACTTTTCTCAATGTAGGCTTATGTCAAAACTTATTTATGGATGTCTCACAAACAATGCTAGTAATATTTTAAACTCTAAATCATTTTATATCAAAAGTTTAATGACTGTAATTAGTCATTACTAACTACAGTCACTAACAACCACTAAAAATTTTATATAAGGGTAGGTAATTAGAGTTTAAAATATTATTAAGAATGTATGCGTAGTTTATAAAACAACCATGAATAAGTTTTGACATAAACCTACTTTGAGAAAAGTCACTTATTTTATACACCGTAATATTGTAAGAGTTTAATTAAAAGCCACTTTTCTCGAAAACCGTCCGCATTAGGAACAAGAGTACCTACACTATTTTTAGAAAATAAAATTGTACATTAGAAATTGGAGGCCGAATGGTAAGAAACCTAACCTTAAAAAAAGCAGAACTTAAAATATAATAGAAATGTAGCATAACTAGCGCCCTCTATGAAATATTCAAAAAATAATTAGACCAGCGTATTTGACATCCTTAAAAACCCCGGAAAACCAAATTTCATAAAAATATTCGCACCGTTTCGAAATTTTCGTAAAAATTCTATTTAAAAATTTTTATTTTGTCGCTCTGTATCTCTATATCTATTGCAAACAATAGGAGATAGACATATAGTTTATAAGACAAAAAAATTCTTATTCTTTTTCGTCCTATATTTACGGGAGGTCTTTCTTAAATACCCTGTATAAATAAACTGGAAAGAGAATGATAAAAGTAGCTACAGCTATTCTATATCACCAATAATATTGAACCTTAAAAATTTACTCTAATTTTCTTATATCTAAACCATTTAAATTCAGATGTAAAAATATCTGTGTTCAATGTTGGACACAGAATGAATATAGATACCTATATGGAGAATATATGAACACTTACAACTACATGTAGTTAAATAAATAGCTTTTTAAATCACTGTTTATAGTTTTTTCATTATAGTATACAACACCAATTCACTAGTTTTTTTTAATTTCATCTCTTTATAATTACAATCATAGGTTTCATATTTATCAAAATCAAAAAAATAAAACTACAAAAATACTACAATAATTCTCAAATAATAATAAGCAATTATTGAACTGTATTAGATGGCTAGATTTTATACAATACTGCTGATTATTGAAATAAGCAGGTATATGTAACAAAAATAAAAAAGAAATTAAAACAACTTTACCCATACTTATTCAAATATGAAATTCATTTTATTTGATCATGATGTTCCATTTATTACTTAATCTTTAGGCAAAATATACACGTTGCGTTCCAAAGTAAACAGGACTTCTTAAAAATAAGAACAACAAAAAGTTTTTCTGGCAAAACCGATTTATTTTATTCAAAATAGTCCTTCTTTGACTCAATACAGCGATTTGCATTGTTTAAAGGCATGTCGAATGAGTGTTTTAGATCGTCAGTCGGAATGTCCTTCAGAATATCCTTCAGGATGTCGGTGCAAGACTTTTGTATGGCTTCTACATAATGCTTTTCTTTCGTCAGCAATTGCGTTTTTCCGAAAAGGTAAAAGTTGGACGGTGTCAAATCAGGCGAATACGTAGAATGGTTGACAGTTAAAATGCAATTTTTAGTCAAACAATCAGTCACAAGTGTCGATCGATAAGACGGCGCATTATCGTGCAACAACGACACCTTTCTTCTATGCGATATTCTGGCCGAATACGATAAAAACGACGCACGCGAAACGCTTCAAAACACCAAGATATAATTGTGCAATAACGATTTTGCCCCGTGCAAGTGGAACGAACTCTTTATGGACAATGCCCTTGGAATCGTAAAAGCGAGTCAACATTGTCTTTTGACTATTCCAAACGAAATTTTTTGGGTTTTGACTCATTTGGTGCCTACCACTCCCTACTTTAGTGATTGGTTTCTGGACCATATTGAAAATACCACGTCTCTTTACTAGTCACAATATTGTAAGGGAAGTTTTTGGCCTCCTTGAGGATATCCTTCTAATGTTGAATTCTGAGCAATTATTGGTAGTCAGTCATCTTGTGCGGAACAAACCGTGCGGACACTTTCTGATGGCCCTAATGCTGGGCCAAAATACGATAAATAGATGCTTTTGTGATGCTTAATTCCAATTTCATGAACTTTGATTAATGGAGATTTTGGCATAACTGTCACACAAAGAATTGAAATTTTAATTCCTATCGGATGCGGGTATGAGACTAAAACGCAGTAGGAAGTTTGCGATTTATTTAATGAAAAATATCCAGATCGCCGTATCAGCCAATCATCAGACAGTAAGATAGAATCTAAATTTAGAGAAACTGGCAATATTGTAGATATTCCAAAACCTGGACGTCCAAGCGTTAGCGAAGATCACAAACAGAACATTTTGATAAGTATGGTAGATAATCCTCATAATACTTCACGATTGGTTGCATTAAACAATGAAATTAGTCAGACCACAGTGCTACGTATCCTCAGGCAGGAAAAATATCATCTCTACAAAATTCAACTTGTGCAGGCACTCAATGAAGACGATCCCGACCACCGCTTACACTTTTGTGAAATTATGATGAATTTATGTCAAGTAAATAGAGATTTACACCGGCAGATACTTTTTTCAGACGAGGCCACGTTTTGTCTCAATGGTACAGTGAACCGTCAAACTTGCAGGTATTGGTGTCGGGAAAATCGTCATTGGATGGCAGATACACATACCCAACACCCACAGAAATTAAATGTGTGGGCTGGAATAGTTAACAACAGAATAGTAGGACCTTTCTTCTTTGAAGGAACCCTTACAGGAGAAAGATATTTAGAGTTTTTACAAAATGACCCAAATGAGATGGCTTCAGTAGAAATACTTATTTTTGGAAAAGTCCTGTTTACTCTAGAACGGACCTTATATGTTAAAGTAAAGCATTAGATAAATATAATACCAGAAGAACGTATTTACTGATAAGAATGCAGGAATTATATTATAATAAGCATGCGCTACATAATTAGAACAGATAAATGTTTATTTCCGGTAAATACATATTCATCATTTTTAGAAAAATACTTAATTCATACATTTTATTCATTTTTCCATCTATCCGTCGCTCTCCAAATATATTTCTATAGGTAGTATTATAATAGTATGCATTAAATTAAACTGAAATCACTTTATTATGGTGATAGAAATCTGAATTACTGTTCAAATAAGTAAAGCTATATTTTTATATCAAATTATTTTCTTCATATTTCAAACTCGCAGCATTACATAACACTTACTATTTTACTCCGTCGTCACTTTTATATGCAACTACAAATTACTCATAAAACTATATGAACTTTATTAAATAGTAAAAGATGTACTTTGGTGGTCTATCTACGGTTTTATTATTCCAAGTTAGATGATATCGATGAATGCCTCAAAAAGTATTGTCTCTATTTTAATATTTAATTTTCATTCCAGGAAAAGACAAGAAACCCAACGAGAAACCCCCATACAGTTACAATGCCCTCATCATGATGGCCATCAGAAACAGCCCCGAAAAACGCCTCACTCTCAATGGAATCTACGAGTACATCATGAGAAACTTTCCCTACTACAAAGACAACAAGCAGGGCTGGCAAAATTCCATCAGGCACAACCTCAGCCTCAACAAATGCTTCGTGAAGGTGCCCCGTCACTACGACGATCCAGGCAAAGGCAATTACTGGATGCTGGATCCTTCAGCTGAAGACGTCTTCATCGGAGGCACTACCGGGAAGCTTCGCCGACGGTCCACTGCTGCCTCTAGGTCTAGACTGGCAGCGTTCAAGCGAACACTTTCATTATATTCACCTTTACAGACATGCTACCCTCCTTTCTACCCGCCATCTCCAGCGTTACTAGCCGCTGCGTATTCCAGATACAATCCCTATTTGCATGCACCAACAACAACGAATATTTTACCGAGGCCTACGCCAGTTCAAGCTCAACCGCATTTCTCTAACGTGGATAAGCCTTTAGGGCTTAGCGCCTCCCCTATGGATCTTGCTAGTTCGCCATTCTTCAGACCACCTCACCCTCTATTCGAAATGTACAATAATTTGAGACTGGCCGTACCCCTGCAGTATCCGTTGCAATTGCCCTTGTCGAGTTTACCCGCGCAGGGTTCAAACGTGCCATCTTCGAGTTGTTCCAGCTCTCCAGACTCGAGGCCATCGCCAGAGGGTCTTCTGAAGCCGGTGACTGTAATCACTAGGAATAATTGACTCAGTTCTGACAGTGCGTGGCTGTTTTTAGTGGTAGTGTGAATTGTAAAAATTTGTATATAATGCAATAAATGGTCAAATTCTTGTACAAATATTGGACATTGACTTGACAGAGGTTGACTCCAACTAGCAGTCACTAGAGATAGAGCGCGTATTTTATAGAATTTTCAATAAATAATTTATTTTATTGCAATACAGGTTTTATCGTATGTTTAGTGAAAACACAATGACATACATAATACCTATTTAAAAGCAAAGAAATAGGGCAGTATTCTCAAGTGAAATTAATTTATCAATAAATCATTTCGACAGTTTGTCAGCAAATTATATTATTGTAGATAGAATTATTAAATAAATTTAATTTATATTGTAAATTGTCTACACTTATTGATCAAACAGAAATGTGAAAAAATGAAAATGAAATATTGAAATAAAACCATTAACTGTTTAACTAGAGTTTTTTTTTTTTTTTGGTTTCTACTGAATCATTGCAGCACCAATTAAATGTAGGTACCTACCTTTTTTTATTTTGTACGTATTAACGAACGATCAGTTTTATTCAAACCAGACGGAAGATTTTCAAAGCAGGTGAATTCACCCGATATCAATATGGGTATAGACTTTGTACCAATTGTACATTGTTTGTTAAAATCTTCCATCTAGTTTAAATAAATTGATTGTTGATTACTATACAGGGTGTCCCGTTGTTGTTTCAAAAAAACTTGTGTGCAAGTTCCTCATGGGAAAATACTAGGGATAGTGCATGTAAAGTTTCTTTCTTAGACGCCTTGTTTTCCAGAAACAGTGTGTTGAAGTTATTACTTTCCAAATGGTGTTCCTTAATTATCTTTAAATCGGCTAAAGATAAACATGTCAAAATTGGTATACGAGTAAACATCAACTGTGCGTTAATAATAATGTGCAAACGATTTCTTTCTGAAAAGCAGTGTCGCCGATACAGGTAATTGAAGGGGTACAATCGAAAAAAAATATGTTAAAAGTTAAAATTTATTACATTTCTAAACGGTTCTGTAAACCCTAAAGGATACTACAAAAAAAAGGTATACTTGTCGAAATTCGGTACATTGTACCATTTTCGAGAAAAATAAAGTTGCATTTTTTTTGCTCACATAAAGCGGCACAAGTACATAAAACAAACAAACAAAATATTAAATTGAAACAGGACCTTACCATTGAATGAGCTGAAGACATTTAGCTACCAACAGTATTTGCATTTAAGACTATAATTTTAATTTCGTACGTATCACATGAAACAGTTAAATTGTAGGTAAAACACTTTATTAACTAAAAAAAATTTAAATTTATTTTAAGTTTCAGCTTGTAAAAAGAAAATCAAAATAAACAGATTATGGTAATTAATTATCTATTATTAACTACTTTTAGGTTTTGTAAACTACTACGAGTAGGTATACTACCATTACTAAAATAAATAATTGTTGAATGAACTGAATTGTTGATGGACATGAATGCTTAAAAAAGTGATAAAAACAGAAAAATGCTAGGAAACAGACTCGGAGACATACAGAACAAAATATCTGCACAATTAAATAAATGTGCAAACTCGAAATACTACAGTAGATACTGAAATTGTCCCCTATTTTCTTCTATCCAACAAAACATTGTATGAACTACCACTATTATTTTTCCATGAGGAACTTGCACACAAGTTTTTTTGAAACATGAACGGGACACCCTGTATAAGCTATACTATAGATAAGCATTGTTATTATTTTTTATAAGCAACTATTGTTGTTTTTGAAATTCTTTTATATTACACTGTATTACAAATAGGAAGAGGTATATTTATTCCGTTTTATTCAATTATTATCCAAGGTGGAAAATAGTACATTTGTAATGTACCTAGTATAGGTGATGTAGATGAATTACAAAGTAACACTAGTTGTTTATAAAAAAAATAGTAATATTACATATCTATAGTGCTGTTTGTAGTAAATATTTTTCAGGCTTTCTACTACTTAGATCCACAAAATGTAAAGTATTTCCTTTCAAATAAGTTATTTAATTTTTCTGAATTTAAAAATGTCGTGTACCTATTTAAAATTCCTTTAACTAAACCTATGAATTTTTTTAACTAACTTTCTTGATTAAATTTTTGTCAAAAAATGTCTTCTTATGAGGCATTTGTGTTATAAAATTTTGAGAAAAAATATCGATTTGTTTTAAGATAAATTAAAAACAAAGTACTAATAAAATCTTCCCTATCTTGAAGATGTGCATATGATACATTTTATTTTTAAACATAGGTATGTAACTTCTTAATACAAATAAATATCTACAATGTCCAAACACACACCATTAATTTAGAACTTTGCCTTATAAAAATAAAAGTGAGGTATTGAAAAATTTTACACTTATACAAGAATAAAATTAACAATTAATTAAGATAAAGTCATTTTTAAATGTTGTTTTGACAAATTATCTAGAAATACAGTCTAAGTATATTTCACTTCATAAGTCATTGGCTTTTAAAAAATATTTTCCGTTCGTTTTACAAACGCTAAAAACTAAATAGTTGATGATTGCTTATTTTATAGTCTGTTTAGAAATGAAAGAGAGTAATAAAAGCTCATTATGTATGCAAATCGTAAATAAATGTAGTACTGGTGCTTATATTCAATATTTTTATATTATGTTTTATCTGTATAGAAGAGGTGTACTTTTAACAAAACTTTCTGCGATCGGACTGTACTAAATTGTAGCAGGTAGCTAAAATTTAATCCCCGAGAATCCGTCTTTGTCTATGCCGCTTCAATTTCTCGGTCCATTTCTCTTATAAGTAAACAATATAAAAACAGCATTTCCAAACATGAGGCTACTTTAAGCATCATAACCGGTTAAGAGGGTTTTTAGTAATTCAAATAAAATTATTCAATATTATTATCAAAATATTTATTTAAATTTAATGAATAGACTTTTATTCCGCACAAAAATATATGTATTTTGAAAATTCAAATTATGGTGAGTAGATGTAGTGTTGTATAAATGTACAATAAAGAAAATAAAAAAGTAGGTATATTAAAATTCATCCTCTGAATATTCTGATGAATTATCTTCGTCTCCTAGATTGATAACGATAGGTTCCACAGTAACGTCAATTAAATTATCGAGTTCCCACATTTTCTCCTCTTTTTTTTGTACATGATGTATACATCTTTGCCAGTTATCTGCAGTTACTCGTTCCAAGGAATTTTTTAACAAAATTTTCACGTCACTTAATTTAAACGTCGTATTATTTCGCGCTACATCTCCTTTTACCTGCGCCCAGACTAATTCGATTGGGTTAAGTTCACAGTGATAAGGTGGTAACCGTAGTACCGTTATTTGGCGATTTGTTGCCATTTCATCGATAACATAGTTTTTCTGATCTTTATTAAGATTGACAAGTGTCAAAAGTTCCTTTTTCACCATATTTGTTTCAAAAGAAATGTTTTTTCCGGATAACCATTGAATTATATCGGCTTTCCTCCAAGCTGTCGTAGGCGTCCGCTCGATCTGCCGTGAATGGTAACTGCATTATTCATGACAATTACAGACCCCGGAGGAATAAGATCCAACATCTGTGTAAAATACTCTTCGAAAACATCTGCGTTCATGTCTTCGTGATAGTCACCTGTATTTTTAGATTCAAATAAAAGTAAACCGCCATCTACAAAACCACTGGCATATGTGTCACTATAAATCTTCGCCCTTTACCTGAAGGTGCCTTGAACCCTGTTGAAAGTCCATCCAAAAATGCTTGTCGAAAACTTTTTACATTTGTATCTTGCCATACTTTTGTTACAGTATAGCCCTCGTTGACCCAAGTTTCGTCTAGATAATAAATATTCCTCCTTTCGTCACGGAATTTTCTAATTGATCTTAAGTAGGATCTTCGCCAACAAATAATTTCATCTTTATCGATAAGAACCGACTTCCTGTTCTGCTTTTCCCAGCAAAAATTCAACTCTCGTAAGACGGCTCATAATTTGCTTCTACTGATTTTTGGCAAATCGTTGTCCTCTGAAAGTTCACTTAAAAATTTGTTTAGCGTTGGTATTTCTTTTTTAAAATAAAATGAGTGTACTTTTCTGCGAATAACATTTTTGAAGAAATTTATGATGTATCCAGTAAAATATACTAATGCACACCCATTACCTGTTAGCATTAGTGTTACCCGATAATTACCTGAAACGAAATATTTGCACGCCCATGGCCGGTTCTTATCTCGGGGTTTTATTACTCTCTTTCATTTCCAAACAGACTATAAACGATTTTTGGGTAAAATGCTTATTATGTTCATGGGTGTTGATAAATATGAACTACTTTCATTATTTTGTATTTATTTTATTCCAATCATCAATTCAATTTTTATCTTCAGTCTTAGATATCGTAATTTTATGAAAAAATTAAATTTTCGAAGCTTAAATCTACTTTAAAATTACTTGTTCTATGTACCTAAATGAAAAGAATATTTCAAACTGGTGAGAGGTAAGTACAAAAATTGTATTATTTTAGTTTAATTATTTGATTTAGTAAAATGAGTATCTTGAGTTAGATATTATTTAAATATTCATAATACAGACGGATGGATTGTCCGCAATTTTATCTTCTAGTCAGTATCTATCAATTTTGAATAAAGTAATCAAACTGTACGTACATTTCTTTTATTATATGCCGATCCATTAACCTTGTCCCACATACATGAAGCCATTAAATTTTTTATACACAGATTTTTTTGCAGAAATTATATCGTTAAACGTTATCTAGTTAATTATAATATTTATTGGAACAACAAATCGTTCTCGACAAACAGTTACTAGCGATTATCATAAATAATTTATGAGAGAGTCGGAGTTTGTATTTATATTTGCAAATGTACATTTTAAAAAATGTTAAGATACCTAACTGAGTTCTCCTAAATAGTGTTCTCTTGCACATTGTACTTTTCTTGTTTTTTGTAGCGGAGCAGACTTTCATGAAAAAAATATGTGTAAGAACAGGTAGTTAATTTATCAGCACTTTGCTTCTACAAATGTAGATAAAGAAGAAAATACGTTAAGACGAATACTACTGAAAAAAGATGCAAAAAATTGATCATATATTAATTAATATTTTATTAATGATAGTTAGGTAATAATTATTAAACATCTGCTACGAACTATTGTTGTAGCAATTAATAGCAAGAAAAGCAAGCTCTATTAAATTTATGGTACAATTAAATCCATCAACACTGTTTTTCTTTTCAAACAGATAATTTCACCACTACCACTTTTAAAATCCTGC